CCTCAAAGCGTACACAATCATGTGACCTCTTTGCATCAAAACAACTCCCAAACCCGAAATAGAGGCATCACAGTACACCACAAAATCACCCAAACCCTCTGGGAGTGCCAGGATCGGGTCCTCACATCACTTCTACCTTAGTGTCTCAAAAGCTAGCTATTGATCAGGCCCCCATCGAAAGGTTAGATTCTTCTTCATCAGGCGAGTCAAGGGCACAACAATCTTGGAGAAATCATGGATAAATCTCTGATAATACCCTGTGAGCCCTAAAAGCTTCGAATCTCCGATGTTGTCCTCAAGACCTACCAACACATCACCGCCTCAATCTTGCCTGGGTTAACCAGGATCCCCTTCTGGTTAACGATATTCCCCAAAAACTACACCTCTCTCAACCAAAACTCACATTTAGAGAACTTGGCATAAAGCCTCTCTTCCCTTAGGGTCTCTGATACCTCACGTAAATGTTGCTTGTGCTCTCCTTGGTGTTGGAATAGACCAAGATATCATCAATGAAAACAATCATCGACCGATCCAACATCGACATGCAAACCAAGTTTATGAGGTCTATGAATGCTGAGGGTGCATGTAGTTGTTATAAATCAAGTATATGAAACGAATATAGAATTTTGAATGAATTATGAACATGAGATGTAAATATGATTTATATGGCTCAATTACGCTTTGAAAAGATACATAGATAAAATAGAGAGTACAAGTCGAAGACTCCAAGAACTTCTCCAACTCTAGTACCCATACCATATTTATAGGGATAAAAAAGGCGTACAAAAAATATAAGGGACTAAAACATTACAGCATCGACACAAACACTACCCTTATACAAAACATACAAAATAGCATGAACATCTTTTGATTATCAACCTCATATGCTATGTGACCACTTTGTCATATGTCTAGGATTAATGAACATGAAACTAGAATTAATAAGAAAATTAACTAAATTCATGTGTGAGCTTGTGTGATGACCATCAACAAGAAGTTAATTAAAAGACCAAATTAGTTAACTATTGCAAGTCTAAATTAACCCGAATAATTAATCTAGTGAATTGAATTAAATTAGACAACTGATCACTGTTTGAGTTAGTTTATTCACTAAGGATTAGTGTAGTGAATGCGAATCTAGTCACTTGAATCGGTAACCAACAAAAGAGTTAATCCATTACACCATTACCTTGAAATCAACCATAGGATCAATTGAGTTGAACTAAACAGAAGTTCCTTCCTATTATTGAATCTAGTTAATTCTTTGTTTTTCTAGTTTTTAGATTAAGTATTAGTTAGTAAGTTTCTAGTCCACTAAAACTAGAGAAAACCCCCTACTTATTAATTAATTTAGATAGAATTAGTTTTTAGTTTTAATTTACCGTTCCATGTGTTCGATACCCTACTTATTTAACTATACCACAATTGATAGGTCCTCTGCCTTTGTGTGTTTATTTTACAATTAAAAGTAGGTTTAAAACTAAGTGAGTTTGCACACATCAAGTTTTTGGCGCCGTTGCCGGGGAACGGTTCTAAAATTAACATTAAATTCTAATTTAATTGATCCTTTGTGTGGGATTTATCTTACACAAAGTTAACTAAAAGGTAATTTAGTAAGTAGTATAAGTTTCAATAAAAATCCGTTTTTAAAGTAACTAGAAAATTTTTCTGTTTTTTTTCTTGAACTCGCCGAGTGCACTCGTGCCGACTCGGCGAGTACATCGTTGTTTGCAATTTTAATTTTTTTTATTTTATTTTTGTTCTTTTTACGCATTTTTTGTTTTGTTTACAGTTGTTTCATGACCTAAGGATCTGATACACCTCTGGTCCCTCCTCTTGAAGACCCGGAATCCGCACTAAGGAGGAGCAAAGGCAAAATCGTTGCAGAATCCGCTTCTTCAAAGAACTCACCACTCAAAAACCTCAAGTCCGTTTTCAGCAAGAAGAGGAGCAGCAAATCAGGAGCATCCAGTGCCTCTTTGACAATCGGAGATCCAATTCAAGAAGACATCGAGTACGAGACCGAGGAAGAAGAAGAACCAACATATGAGCACGAATCCGAGTTTGAAGATGATTTAGCTATCGCTATGGATAATATCGATGAAGTCCCCATGGGGGAATGGAAGAAGAGGATGCGCGATGACACAGACCCGGGACTTGTGCAGCCCGCAATTCCCGTAACCGCTACTTTCGAGCTAAAGGGCCATATTCTCGCTCAACTCAAGGAGATTCCTTTTTATGGGAAAGACCACGAAGACGCCTAAAAGCACTTGGATGAAGTAAATGATGTGGCTGACTACTTCAATGTACCAAATGTGCCTCGCGATACCCAGCTACTTCGCATGCTTCCAGTCACGTTCAAGGGTGCTACAAAGGATTGGCTCAAGTCACTCCCTCCCAGATCAGTCACCACATGGGCCAAGATGAAAGAAGAATTCATAGACCACTTTTGCCCGCCTTCCAAGATAGCTAAGTTGAAGAAAGTCATCGCCAACTTCGAGCAACAACCCGAAGAATCTCTTTATGAAGCTTGGGAAAGGTACAAAGGTATGCTTAGAAATTGCCCACACCGTGACCTTAATAGCCAACAAGAGGTCTCCATTTTCTATGATGGAGTCAATGTCACCACAAGGCAATTGCTCGATTCACAAGGCCCGCTCACCAAAAATCCGCCCCCGGTAATCAAGGAGTTAATTGAAGAATTCTCTAAGCATTCTAGAGAATACCACAATCCAATAAATGAAGTAAGTCGGGGGGTAGTGAACTCGGCAAATGATAGCATGGCGGCGGTGATAGCTAAGCTCGATAGTCTAGATAGAAGGATGACAAAAATGGATCAAACAATCCATGCTATTCGAGTTGGATGCGAGAATTGTAGAGGGCTCCATCTCACAAAGGATTGTGATTTGGGTGAAAATGGAAACAAGACGGCTCAAGTGTTCTACTCAAGTGGCGATAGATACGACGAGAATTGGCGGAAACCGAAGAAGGAATGGCTCACATACGAAGAATATAAGAAGGCTAAGGAGGAGAAGTACAAGCAACAAGAGAGGAGATTTTATCAAAAGGAAGAACCAATAATGGAAAAGAAATCTGATTTAGAAGAAATGCTCACTAGATTCATAGCCGCGTCCGAAAAGAGACACAATGATCACGATGCTGCAATGCACGAGACCAGAAATATGATAAGGAATCAGCAGACATCCATTCTCAACATTGAGAAACAGCTGGGACAACTTGCACATCAAGTGAACGAAAGAAGACCAGGTCAACTTCCAAGTAACACCGAAAATAATCCAAGAATGGAGAATGTGAGTATTGTGACATCCAACTGTGAAGAAATTTTCACACAGGCACAGAGGATCTCCAATAGGAAGACAGAAAAAACAGAAGAGTCGGCTCCAGCTAAACCCGACCAGACTCGCCGAGTCCATGCGCTAATGACAAAACGGTCATTCCCTTAAAGCCATATAATCCCCCTTTGCCATTCCCAATTAGAGCCATGCCTATTGAAAAAGTGGCAGCTTATAGAGCTTTTATGGAGCATGTTAGACCCCTACAAGTCAATGTGTCATTTGTAGAAACGATGCTTCAAACGCCCAAGTATTTTAACTTACTAAAGGGTCTCTTTGTTGCTAGGAAAGATTTAGCTGAAGTCGCGGAAATAATATTGAGTGAGTTACCTGAAAAGAAGGGCGATCCGAGGAGTATCATTATTCGGTGCTAATTTGGAAATGCACTTGTCACTCAAGCATTGACCGATTCGGGTGCAAGCATCAATCTGATGCCTTTCTCTTTCTTCAAGAAGCTGAATTTACCGGAGCCAAGGCCGGTAAACATGAAAATCCATTTGGCAGACAAGACAACAATTCATCCAAGAGGCGTTTGCGAGGATCTTCTCATTAAAGTTGACAAGTTCATCTTTCCAGTAGACTTTGTGGTGCTTGATATGGAAGAAGACCTCGAAATTTCGATTATTTTGGGAAGGTCATTTTTAAACACCGCATGTGCTTTAAATGATGTATGTGAGTCTACACTAACATTAAGGGTTGGAGATGAGTCGGCAATATTTAGAGCTCTACCAGAGATCAAGCAAGAAGAGGAAGGAAAAGAAGAACTCTCATTTATCGATTTGGATGATGAGATACTACAAAAAGAACTTGCACTTTTGCAAGAAGAGGATCCAAGCAAGTTTTTGCTACCTTCTCGAGGTAATGGAGATATTGACAAAGACTTGGAGGAGATAGAAAAACTGCTGAAAGGAGCCGACTCGGAAAACACAGTGGAAATGGTGAAATGCGATCCGACTCGTCGAGTCACTTTCCTAGACTCGACGAGTCCAGTCGAAATTACCAAAAAACTGGACGATTTAGATCTGCGTGTTGTTAGTTCTCTGCATGAGTTGGACATAAATGTTTTTCCTCATGCCTTAGAAGAACAAACAACAGAAGTGGTGCCACATCATTTTTACTATAAAATTGTGGTTTCTTGCCACACCTAAGGAGTGGTGCTACACTTTATTTAAAAAAAAAATTAAATAAAAACTTTAATTTCTCCCCACCGAATCACAAACAGTCAAATTACCTACATCCAATCACAAATCGTGTCCATTTGTTGACGCACTGCGGTCTAAACCGCACCCAAGGACGGTGTTCGCTGCTTATGTGGCGAAACTGCACCACACTATATGCCTCCCCATACTTCCTTCGTAACACTGTTTTTTTTTTTTTTTTTTTTTTTTGTCTTTTTCTTAATTTTCGAAAGAAACAAAAATAGTTTGATGACTTTCTTATCTTATCTTTTTGAAAATTCTGCATAGCCGTCTTGACTAGCTAGGTCCTACCGATTCAATACAGTGATGCACATGGATCCACCAATTTCTATATAATTGTATTATAGTATATTTTAGTAACAGTGATGCACATCGATCCACCAATTTCTATATAATTGTATTATAGTATATTTTAGTAACAGTCACATCTAACAAAAGAGCTAAAGAGATGGGGGAAGTGGCGATGGACGATTATGAAGTAGTGATAATTGGAGCGGGGATCTGTGGATTAGCGACTGCCGTCGCTCTTCAGAAGAAAGGAATTAAAAGCGTAGTGATGGAGAGATCGGAAGCTCTGAGGAATATCACCGGTGCAGCTATCGGAATCCGCCAAAATGGTTGGCGAGCTTTGCATCAGCTTGGCGTCGCCGACGTCCTCCGTCGCACTGCTATCAATATTAAAAGGTATGTCATACTTTTTTTTTTTTTTGGATATTTAATTGATAAATACATAGTTTTATGTAGGTTTTGTTTCCAAACTTTAACGAATTTTATTTTATACATTTCATAAACTAAAAATATTTATTACCTTGGTAATTTTTGTCTTTCACTTTTTCTAGGACATTACAGAATAGGCATCTAATATATTAATGTAAAAAATAAAATTTTATAATTCAAAATCATTTATAAATTTTAGGAAATAACAACAAAATGGAGGTACTTTTTCTTTAGTAATTTATAAAATTTACACTGAAAACAATTATATAATAGCTATTTTATATAGAATATGGTATTAATGAAACCAAATTAACATTTGAGTAGCTTAATTTGATTTTTATTTTTTCTAATCTGTATGATCTCTCTGTTAACCTTTCTATACTTCGGGGACTTTATATCAAAAAACCATGGTTAACCCAAAGGCCAGGTTTACTAAAAACTATTGCAGTTTGAATTTTCTTTCCCTTTCTTTTAACCATTGAAAAAAATGTTATGATTTATTATTTTTTCAAAAAGTTTGGGAAATAAATATGTGATTTTTATTACCTTCAAAAATAAGTTTTTAAAAGCTCACATACTCACATGCACTCTTGACATTTAAAAAAATATTTATGACTTATTCACGAAAAATGATTCTAAGCTAATCTAACATTTATTTAAAAAGAATTTATCAACTATAGCTTGCTGCTACCATATAAGTTAATCCAAATTTTAAAAAACAAAATCATTTTATTACAACACAAAGCAATAAATACTTTAAACAAAAAGTGTAAGTGTTTATGGAGTTAAATAAACAATAAATCTTGATTCTATAAAAAGAGTATGGTTTGGATTTTCTCCATTCTAACCATCCGTTTTTTTTTTTTTTTTTTTTTTTTTTTTTTTTTTTTTTTTTTTTTTTTTTTTTTTTTCGATTTAACCACACACTTTGAAATTAAAAAAAAAAAAAAAAAACTTTAATCTGGTATGCTCACTCATTTTCAAACCCCTATAATCTTTTTTAAATTTGTTATTCGTCTTATGTTACTAGTTTTCTTAATCAAAAATTTATTTTGTAGGTAATTGAAATTATACGAGAATATAAGAATATGTTGTAGATGGAGTATATATAATTGTGCTTACGTGTTTAAAGTTAATCATTTTAGTTTTAAATATAAGTTGATTATTAGAAAAAAATGAAGGTAACAATTAACTCCTTCTTCATTGATTATCTAAATCATTATGCTACTATGTTCATATGGTAACAATCCATATATTGGTGATTAATCATAAATGCAACATTTCCGAATCATTATGAAATTCAGCAAACAATATGAAATTGCAGGGCCTCGAATGGATACTTCATGTGTACATTCAACTTTGATACTTCATCTATACATAGGATTCTTATCAAACCAATTCTATTAATTATAGTTTACCAAAGTTCACAAACTCTTGTTAATTTTTTTTTTAAGAACGTGGTCTCCAAAAATTATATAAATGGCCACACAAATTAACAATAATTGAATTTGTAACATTTGGTAAACCATATAGATCATTCATGCAAGTTTTGAAAATGATGAGACCATATTCACCAAAAAAACATTAGTAAATTCAGAGTTTTTGACATTTGATTATATATATATATATATATATATATATATATATATATATATATATATATATATATATATATATATATATATATATATATATATATATATCATGCAAATTCTATAAAGGTGTTTTAAATATTAGTAAATTCTATATGATTATAATTAAGCTTCATTGATAATAAGATACTATTTTGAAATACATTAAATTATTAAAAGGTTCACCAATAAAATAGGAAAAACATTTTATTCTGGTTAAAGATGTTTGTTTTTTCATAATTAAAGTTTTTGTGGTTAAATCTTAAACAAAAAACTAGAAGGTTAAACCGAAAAAATCCAAAATTATAGCGTTTTTATAAAATTCAAAATGTTATGGTTTCCTCTGAAATCCCTTCTACCAGGAAATGGTGTTTTTTTGAAAAATAAAAAATTAAAATCTAGGTCGTTAAACGAAAAATAAATAAATGGTTAAATCAAAAAAGTCTAAAACAAAGAGTTTTTATAGAATTTGGTATCATTGAAAGTTGAAACTACCACGGATTAAATATATTACCCCGGTCTTTGTAGAGAACGTATTGTAGGGCTCGATGGGGGGAAGCAACAGGAAATGCCGATGTAAGTTACAGTAGATTAAAACATTTTATTCAGTTTTCATGATTGAAAAAACATTGTTAATTGAAACTCATTTGTTTATCAATGAACGACAGGAAAGGCGAAATTCGTTGCTTGAGAAGGAAAGATCTTATAGATACTCTCTATGCTGCACTTCCTCCGACCTCTGTCAAGTTTGGATGCGAACTTGAATCTATAAAATTGGACCCGAATACTACAAAACCAGTTCTTCGATTCATCGATGGGAGCTTCATTACCCCCAAGGTCTTAACTTGATTGAGTAAAAGAACTACCATTGATCGGTGTTAATGGCAATTCTGAATTGATTATCTGGTTCTTCATATGTTCAATAAGAACAACGATACATGTTTGTTCTTGCAGGTTGTAATTGGCTGTGAAGGAGGCAAGTCAATCGTTGCCAATTTCCTTAACCTCAAGCCTACGAAGATGTTTCCCTTATGCGGAGTTAGAGGTTTATCAAACTATCCCAATGGTCATCCATTCGACCAAGAGTTTGCTCGTTTCAGGAAAGATAATAATCTTGTGGGAAGAATTCCAATGGACAATAACTTAGTCTACTGGTTTTGTGCGCACCCTTACTTTCCTAAAGGTCATTTATCATCACGATTACATACATTTCACTTCATTTGTTCTTCGTTTGCTTAGATTTTTCCGTTTTCGTTTTTCCAATTATGATAACAGATGACAGAATTTGGGAAGATCCGGAGGCAATACGGCAATCTACCCTAGCATTGCTAAGTGATTATCCCCAAGAAGTTAAAGAAATGATAGAGATTGCGGATGCAAATTCGTTGTCTTTTACACGTTTAAGATATCGTGCACCATGGGACTTGCTAAGGGGGACGTTTTGTAAAGGAAGAGTGACAGTTGCTGGGGACGCTATGCATGTGATGGGTCCGTTTCTAGGGCAAGGTGGTTCAGCAGGTTTAGAAGATGCGGTGGTGTTGGCTAGGAACTTGGCTCAAATGGGTTTGGACAATGTGGAAGAAGCGTTTAATCTCTATGTAAAAGAACGAAGAATGAGGGTGGTTCGATTATCGTTGCAGACTTATTTCACGGGTATGCTATTGGGAGCTTCTTCGCGTCTAAAGCAGTTTATGTATGTTGTGTTATTGTCTCTTCTCTTTCGCAACTCGAGTGGCCATGTTGATTATGATTGTGGTAGTCTTTGATGCGTTTAGAGATCTTTAGACTCGGATCATGTTACTAGTTATTTTCATTAAACAAGTTTACTTATAGGATTAGGGCAAATATATGAACCAAATAAGTTGTATAATCAAATAAACAATCAATCCTAATGATATTAGGAGTTCTTCACAACGACTTACTTGCTGTGATAGAGGAGTTTCAATGTGATCTTGAGAGATTTAGGTGGTGAGTTGGTTGTGTGACATAGTGAAACCGAAGGTCAACACAGTCTGATGCTGCTGGTAGCTCCCATGGGGCCAATTTTCGCCTTAAGCAAATTATAGATGATTTTACCCCTGTTTTAAAAATGGTTGTTCTTGAGATATTTTCCCTATCATGGACTGGTACCTTGTTGAAGTTCAATCTAAAGTCGTTGGAAGTTTCAAACTAGCTGACAATTCGCCAGTGTAATTTTTGGACGACTTTACCCCTCGGGTACTATGGAAGTTTAATGATGGCAGATCGTTTAATTGGTGGGATCTATCACCATCAATACATTGTTTCAGGTACTATGGAAGTATTTGACTTCATACCCACACGACTTCAAAGCGTCGGGTGAACTCTGTAGATGGGTTTTACAAACTCATCATGACTTCTTGTCTATCGGTAAGTTCCAAGGTGCGTCTTAAGGGGATATATCTTTTTGTGTATAAATATGTATTTTATGTATTTGTATGTATAAAGCATATTTTATTTGTATAGTCTATATTTGATGTATTTGTAGGGTGGTATTTTAACTAACTAAAAGCAAATTTATTTGTATAATACATACCATATGGACTAAAATGTATAAGGCTAAATGATGTAGTGATATTTTTACCTATCAAAATCTCCTGTCACATAGGTGTCACATATGTGCCACATAAGTATTTGATATTTTTGTTATGTTTTGACTATGAGTGGGGTGGGGTGCCATTTATTGCCTACAATTAGGAGGGAGGGAGGGAAAGAGATTGTCGTGGGCAAAGAAATAGGTTGAGGGTCGGTATTTACAATCAACAATATTTCCCGTCAGAATGCTAACGGCAAATAGATCATGACACGATACAATCTAACAAACTATCAAACACTTCCTAATATATATTTTGTGCATTTATATATTTATATGTATAAACAAGTATCTTTTTAATTGGTCAATAGTTCAATTCACATAAGATTTAAAAAGACATCATTTTAGCCACATACATTACTTGAGGTTGAAGGTTAAAGCCTTGTTGTGAACATATGTGTAATTAAGGAGTAGATTAGATTTCCTGTTCAAAAAAAATTTCAATATTTTTGCTTTTAATAATAGTTTTTAGTAGAAGGGTTGGTTAATAACATGTCTGTGTAACAGGAAATTTTAAAAAAAGAAAGCCTTTGAATTCAATCTCAAACAAATAGTAACCCTTCGGTATATGTGTATATATATATATATATATATATATATATATATATATATATATATATATATATATATTATATATATATATATATATATATATATATATATATATATATATATATAGGATTAAATTCAAATGAGAACACTATTTAATGTGAGAACGTGAAAACACTACTTCATGTTATGATTCTACTATGAATTTAATATGTATAGTATTGTAGTAATTATAATACGAATATATTCAATTTTATATTGCTATTCTACTATAAAATTGATATATATATATATATATATATATATATATATATATATATATATATATATATATATATATATATATATATATATATATATATGTGTGTGTGTGTGTGTGTAGTAATTTAGTAAATTCTAATGTGAATGATAAATATGTGATTATTCATATATTCGGTGATGAATAATGTCATAAAGTTGTACATACAAAATTTTAATGTGAATATTAATGTGTGATTGTTCGTATATTTATTGATGAATAATATCATATCATTGTATATACAAAATTCATAGTAGAATAGTAATATAAAGTAGTGTTCTCAGCGTTCTCACACTAAATAGTGTTCTTATTTGAACTTAACCCTATATATATATATATATATATATATATATATATATATATATATATATATATATATATATATATATATATATATATATATATATATATATATATATATATATCCTCCTACTTTTTTCTTACTTGTCCTATCCATATAAAATAATGTCAAATAGCTTAAATATTATTAATTTTATTATTAAAATGTAATATTTGTCACCATTCAAATGAATAAAAAAATAAATAGAAAAAAAAATGTAACATGAATTTCTTTATCCATTTTTGAATGATTTCACAATTTCAACCCACATAAGAATAGGATGTAAGACGGCTTCATTTTAGCCCACTTAGGTTGCAAACACAAACCAATCAACCGTTAGGACGGGCTATACAAAGTAACATTGGATTTCCTTTGATAACAGTTATCAAATTTCAGAGTATTTTCTGCACAGTTTAAAAAGCTAATTATCAAATTATGACGTTAACCTGGTTTAACCATATACTAAAATTTTCTCACAAAAGAATTTTTTTTTTTTTTTTTTTTTTGAAACTACGATGTAAATGTTTCAGCAAAAATTTATGGTTTTTCGCTGATTTATAATTTGGAATGCGCGACTATTTTGCATAGCCGTCTTTGGTTATTCAATTACCAGTGGGTACATGGACCCACCGACTAACATATATGTAAATTAGGATTTAGGACGGACATCATCACAGATTCACATCTAGAAAACGTCAAAGAGTGGTAAGAGATGGGGAAAGACTTGGCGATGGATGATAATAATGATTATGAAGTAGTGATAATTGGGGCGGGGATTTGTGGATTAGCAACAGCTGTGTCTCTTCAGAAGAAGGGAATTAAAAGCGTAGTGATGGAGGCATCGGAATCTCTGAGGAACATCACCGGAGCAGCAATCACAATCCACCAAAATGGTTGGCGAGCTCTGGATCATCTGGGCGTGGCTGATACCCTCCGTCGCACTACCATACCTATTCAAAGGTTCCTCATACTTTTCCTCTCTTTGTGTTTTGGATTTATAATTTGATGAATAAATACATTATTCTAAGAGATTTATCTCCACATATTTTCATAAATTTAAAACATTTTACAGTAAGCTACAGGAAAGGCCCCTGTGTTAAGTCAATGTTTTTGGATCGAGTTCCTGAAAGACTTTATTTATTTATTTTTAATATCGTTACGGCGTTTTCAATGCCACTCAAAAGCTCATATAGCATATTTTACATTATTTTGATGTAAACATTTTACAGTAAGCTACACGAAAGGCCCCTGTGTAAGCTCATATTTATTTTTTAACTCCCTTATTCCATAAGATTACAAAATATATACAAACAATATGTTACAGGAAGTCCCTAAATAATTAATAGCAAAGATCACAACTTCCAAAATACAAACCCCCTTATATAAAAAAAAAATTTCCTTTTTTTAAATCAGCTGTTCCAAAGAATGCCTAAGAATTTTGTTAACTCGTGATATTTTACCTAAAATAGTAATAAGATGTTCGTGAGGAATTATTACCGCAATATGATAATCTTCATGAATTAACGGTACTTCCCGGTCTGTGTAGTGAACGAATGGTAGAGCTCGATGGGTGGAAACAACAGAAAACCTCAATGTAATATACTACATTTTGGTCATTTTTCAAAACTTCAAAAAACATCACTCAACGCCAATTTTTATCATTTGTTTATTGATGTACAATAGAAAAGGTGAAACTCGTTGCTTGAGGAGGAAGGATCTCATCGACACTCTTTACGCTGCACTTCCTCCAGCCACCGTCAAGTTCGGATGCAAACTTGAATCTATAAAATTTGACTCAAAAACTACCAAATCAGTTCTTCAATTCAACGATGGAAGTTTCATTATCGCCAAGGTCATAACTTGATTGAGTAGAAGAACTACAATTACTCAGTTTTAATGGCAGTTTTGAGTCGATTCCGGTTCGCTATTTTTGTGACTGATAGTTGTTCTTGGTGCTCGTAGGTCATCATTGGCTGCGAAGGAGGCACGTCAATCGTTGCCAATTTCCTTAATCTCAAACCTACCAAGATGTTTCCATTTTGTGAAGTTAGAGGCTTATCAAACTACCCCAATGGTCATTCATTCGACTATGAGTTTACTCGTTTCAGGAAAAACAACAATCTAGTCGGAAGAACTCCGATCGACGATAAGTTGGTCTACTGGTTCTATACGCAACCTCTAGTTACTGGAGGTCGTTTTTGCCGCGTTTACATCAATTTTACTTCATTTGTTCTTTGTTCACTTTATCCTATTTCGTTTTTCTTCAATTATGATAACAGATGAAAGAAGCTGGGAAGATCCTGAGTCAATACGAAGATCAACTCTAGCGTTGCTAAACGATTATCCTCAAGAAATTAAAGAAATGATCGAAATTGCAGATGAAAATTCGTTGTCTTTTTCACATTTAAGATATCGTTCACCATTGGAGTTGCTGACTGGGTCATTTTGTAAGGGAAAAGTGACGATTGCTGGGGATGCTATG